TTTGTGGTTGGCGCTTTGGTCCATGCATGTGCTACCAGCTGCACGCTCATCTTGAAGATGCCCAGTCTGACTGCAGCACTCCCCGTTCCAGACAAAGGGCAGAGCGTTCATTTTTCTAAGCCGGGGTTGCATTTTCTGTCGCAAGTAGATCCAGTTGAATCATAAAGAGCCTTCCATGGAGATCCTTTTGGATACCGTCAAGCCTGCAATCGCCGTGCAAGCTTGACCGTTGCTGCTTCAGGAAGAGCGCACAGGTTGAAGGGCTCGTGCATGCATGCATCGATTGTGGCGCGGTCGAACACGAGCAAGGTAGATTGATCTACAGGGTACGACTGAAGATTTAGGTGCTGTGTACCTGGCCCGGACTGTTGACTGCACTGTGCAACAATGTGCAACAATGTTGCAGCTGTGTAACATCTGCTGCCTTCGCGATGTTTAGCTTTCAAGCATACAAGGAGCGAAAGGATTGGGACAGTTTAGCGGTCCATGGCTGATGCCAAGGGTTTCACATGCTGCTTGTGGAACCTGCCGCAGCTCGCCCATGCCCGCCATGCCCGCCAAAAATCCCAGCAAGCTCATGCTAGCCTGCCAGGCCCAAGGAAAAGTCTTCAAGGTGCCCTGTCGCATGCTCCCAGACAATGCCAAAAAGGCCAGGGCCACGCGCGTCTCTGAGATCCTCATTTGAAGACGCATCTTGCGTCCCTCTCCAATGCGATGGACCTGGAGCTGATCGGCGGCGCGATCAACATGGCTTGACATGCAGACGTGGCATGGCAATGATTGACGTGCCTGGTGCCTGCATGTGGGCGTGTTGAGATACAAGGATAGTTGGGAGCCCCTGAAATCCCTGAAGTCTCGGCGACGCTTGTGCAGTTGCATGGCGCCTGCCGTGTTGCCTGTTTTGCAGCAACATTGCAGTGCGGCTTGATCTCCTTCGTATTCTCCTGGCCCATGCTGGCCCATGGCCTACGCCTGGTTGGTTTGTCTTTAGCCCCAATATCATCACAGACCGCACGACGGGCTCCTTGCTCACCTGGCAAGATAATCTTGCCTCATCCGTAGGGGTGTCCTTGAGGAAAGACTTGATTTTTGAAGACCTGTGCCGCGGCGTTTGATGCGCATGGACAGTGACACTCCATGTACCTCACCAGACTTTCCGCTCAGAGCCAGTGAAGACTCAGGACCTTTCAATTTCCTAGCGCAAACGTGTGCTGAGAACCGGCTTCCAGCTCTCAAAAGTGGGCTTCGTGCTGGACCGGTGAGGCACTGCCATTAATTACAAAGACATACAACCTCCGAGCTGCAAACTAAATCCCAGGGGCTGCCCTGCCCCTGAAGCACGTCCTTGATTTTGCAAGACAGACTTGGGGGGTGTTGTTTCTTGCGCCGCGTCAGTGTTTGCTGCTAGTGGCGGCAGATGGCCTTGTTTTCAACTCTGAGAGCTGCCCTTGAAGGTGCCCTTGAACGAGAGGAATGAATATTTATTCATTTCCACTTGAAGTACAGGCGCTGCTGCTGCAGGGTGTTGCAGCGGTGGTCCGGTAGGAGCCACATTACGGAAACTTTAGGGGCTGGCTTACAGACCGTAATTATGGGCGGACTTCGGGCGCGTTTACGGGCGGAGTTTACAGGCGGCGTTTGCGGGCAGAGACATCCTGCGAGAGGCATGCGCAACATCTGCTGTCTTCCATATTACGCGATCCCAGGTTGTCAGATATCGTAGTGTAAAGTGGCCAAAAACTGCAAAACGAAGTTTTTTCATGAAACTTAGGGGCGTGCATTCTCTGCAGACATCTGTGAACTGATAAATCTTGCTTCATCCGCAAGGTTGTCGTCGCAGAAAGACTTTCGTTTAGGTCTTTGTGCTCCCGGCCCTGCGTCCACGTGTGAAAACCTGTGCCGTGGTGTTTGATGCACATGGACAGTGACACTCCATGTGCCTTACCAGACTTTCCGCTCAGAGCCAGTTAAGACTCAGGACCTTTCAATTTCCTAGCGCGAAGGGTACTGAGAGCCGGCTTCCAGCTCTCAAAAGTGGGTTTCGTGCTCCCCAAATTTCAGATGCACTGGACCGGTAAGGCACTGCCACCTTGCCACAGCACACTGCCACGGCACGTATGCAACGATCACGAATCACTATTGAAGCTGGGCCCATGACTCGTCTGACATGGTGACTTTTGCTGGGTCCTCGAGAAAGCTACCGCAAGGGTATCGTAAGGCAGCCGCATCCGCAAGCCGCCCTTTGAAGCTTTTCAAGTTGTTACTAGGAAGTTGCTTGCGTGGCTTATGTCCTTGGTTGCTATAGGGTGCAGTGGATTGTCTAGGCATAGAGGTCACTTTAGTCTGCAGCCCTCGTGCATGCACTGCCGGTTTGCATGCAGCCTTTGATTTGCATTGCGCTCCGCCGTAGTGCGCCATCGGAAGCAGCCCAGATGGCAGCCGAAAGTGCATCGCACGACATCGCCCATCCCATAGAAATTGGGCCGTTCCATGTGAAAGCCATGTCGACGAGGAGCTTGCTCATGTAAGGTTCAGTTCCAAAGGCGTACAGTGAGGCGGGACGACCGGCTCCCTGTTCGACAGTGGCAGCGTGGCATCCAGCTTTCCCTTGCGGTGCGCGTGTGGTGATGACTCTCGGATATTGAGCGCATCGCGCTCTGTGGCTCTGCCACGGGCTGGTGCATTGATACACGAGGACCCGAGTCCGGAGTTCGGCTAGGCAGCTGCGTCGCTGGGTACTCGGACAGAGGTTGTAGCAGATCGACGTCAAGCGGCACGCTACATCAGGCTGCGTGTTGGCAACTTGAGCAGGACAGCGAAAGCAGGGACCTGAACGACTGCGAGCTCACAAGATAATCTTGCCTCCCGGCAGGCAGGCGAAGGCGCAAGATGTCCAAGCTGTCATGATGACACTGCTGCAGGATCCACAGCGGCGTCCTTGCGGAATGGCAGTGTAGGTTTCTGTGCCCCCTGCCTGGCGTCCACGCGTGAAGACTCGTGCCGTGCCGTGGTGTTTGATGCACATGGACAATGACAGTCCATGTACCTTGCCAACCCGACTTTCCGCTCAATGAAGACTTAGGAGTCTTCAAAGTCCTAGCACGAGGTGTGCTGAGAATCTTCTTCCAGAGACTGGAGCCATGGTGACTGGTCTGACGTGCTGACTTTGCTCCGGCCTCGAGAGATCACCGCAAGGCGACCGCATACGCAAGCCGCCCTTTCGAGCTTTGAAGGAAGGCTTTCTATGTGGCTGACGTCCTTGGTTACGAGGTCATTTTTGGCTCCGCAAAAAGATCTTCGGTGCCTAGCCTGCAACCCTCGCGTATGTACTGCCGGCTTGCCAATCGGCCTTTTAGGCGAGCGCGAGGATTCCAAGGACCTTCCACGTCTTCCAGCCTGGCATCTACTCAGCCTTTGTGCAGTGCCCTATGCCGCCGGTACTCGTAGTATGATCTTGTTGTACTGACTCATATGAAGTGTACGCGGAAGTGACAGAAATCTGCAAGCGCTGACTCTAGTCTACTCTGACGGCTGGAGCCGATTCAGATTTGCCCAAGATGCTGCTCCATCGGGAATGTCCACCATTGCCGCATACTGCCGCCGATGTGCGAAGGTCCGGAATCGTCCAGACAATGGGCGTCTAGTCGCGTGTAGGGACACCTACACTCCAGCTGAGCCGCCGCCTCTGATCCAATAGGCTGAGTCCCCACGATGGCGGGTCCTGAGCGGGGATTCTGCGGTATTATGGACTCCATGTTCTGATGGGTCCTGAGAAGTCCGGCGTGTAACTCATGATTGGCTGCTACAGTTGTTGCTTCGTTTTTGCTCGCAAGCCTGCCGTTCAAGGCGTTCAGGTTGCGCTGGGCATATCGAGCACGACGGAGATAGCCGAAATCACACAGGCCGCTCCTTCGTAAGCGTTCCGCGTGCCATGCTTTGAGCCAGAATCTGAAAAGGACACAGAGGGGTCAAAAGTTCAGATCGAAGGGCATCAGCTCACCTTGCTAAAGGCTAGTGTCGGGCTTGGGAGGCAGTGGCATCGCCTGACTTCTGTAGTATGTGGGCTAGGCTCCTCAAACACCGGGAACTATGGGGGCTTCAAGAACCGGATCGTAATGTGACAGTGCTCGCAGCAGGCATTTGGCCTGGTCTTCTGCCTCGACATTGGTGAGCCATTCCTGAGACCTTTTGCGAGACGTCGCCACAGGGGCCCACTGAGGGCCTGCGTGCCTCTTTTCTCCGAGTGGTTGTGGGTGTATCGCACGCGAGGCACGCTTCAATCTTGCATCTCAGGGTGAGATGTTCGCAGCTGCAGGCAAGGATGTGGCTGTACAACGCCCTTCGCACCAGCCACTTTGAAGCATTGCGTGGGGCATGCTTGAGGGTCAGACTTGTTTCCTGCCGCAGCGTCCATATGACTTGCTATAGTTTGAGCAAAAGCAGGGTGCGCGCTCAGCAACACTGGCGGAGTCGCAAGCTCAAGCGAGCAAAGTGCAACTCCGATCGCTTCTGCCCCCTCCGATGCAGTTGGCCAGTTCCTTCCTCGATTTCCGAGCCGGCGAACACCTTTGTGTGCACTCAGGAAGTTTTTGAGGAGGTAGCTCTCGCCTGCGCCGGCAGGGCGGAGTTCGTTTCAGCAGAAGCTTGAAGAAGCTTGAAACTGCCAGCAGACACGAACAGACCATCAATGACTGTCCCCGACCCACGTTGCATCTGGTCGGGGGCCATGGCCATGTGGGCCCATACTGCAGGCAAGCATTAAAGTTCATGAGCCTCTTGTCGAACACTGGCAGGCCCGTGATTCGCAAGGCAAAGCCCGTCTCCGCACGGGCTGGGCACACGACTGAACGCAAGAGATGAACGTCTCAAGGCCAGTCGCGGCAGAACATCGGCGCGGCAATCGCCGGGTCTCAGCATGTGCACACCGGCTTCAGACCACCAAACGGTGCAGCCCTGGCAAGATGCGCCTGCCTAGAACCAACATCAAGCCAGTTTGGAAGTCACTGGCATCTACTGTTGCAAGCGCATTCATTGCTTGACCGACAGTGATACTGAGCCTTCCTGTGCCCGAGAAAACCTCCATACAAGCAAACCCTGTCAGGCGCTGGAGGATTCTCTGCAGTGTAGGATGCTGCGCAGTGGATGTTGTAGGCGGATGCTGAGACTTTCTCTGAAAACTCGGAGGGCCCGCATGCGAGCACCCCCGAGACTGAGGCGCGGTAGATCTTCGGGTGGCCTTTGGTGGTCAAGAGGCGTTCGCCCCCCTTGTCCCGCTTGTCCCTGGCAAGACTCGTGCTGTGTTCGAGGGAAGCTGCGCCTGGCACCTCTGAGCTCGAGGTCGCGTTGAGAACCCGCTGTTGAGGTGCACCTTGCCCTCCATCCGTCGGACATGTCGGACATGTCGGGCATGTCGGGCATGTCGGGCATGGGCATGTCGGGGTGTGAAGTGCACGCCCAGGGCCGGGGCACTGAGCATGGGGAAGCGATGCAGATCGCGAAGCTCGCAGTGCGGCTCGGCTCTGTGCCTCCATTGCCCGGGCCTCCAAGCTGATGGAACACTCTTTGCGGACAAATTCTTTTGATTCTTCATCGTCTCCTGCCCGTGGTTCGCGTGCCTTCGCCTGCCTTCACACGCCTTCACGTGAGCATTTCGGGGCCCGTCTATGCCCAGCGTCTCTACCCGAGCTGCTGACCCTGGCGGCATGAAGGTGACGCAGCCAGCTCAGCGTCGTTGCGAATGTTCGGTCACCATGTGCCGTGTGGCCGACATTGACGGTGCCTGGTATGCAGTTGCCACTCGCAGTTGCAAGCAGAGCATGCCTGCAGCCTGCAGCTGCAAGCCGGCCTTGAGCTCGCTTCCCTTTCGTTGTGCATGGGTTAAGGTTGACCGGTGTGCGCCCCCTCCCCGCCTGGTAGGGCAAAAACTGATGTAGCATCGGTCTGCTCACCTGCCTGGTTAGTGCTGGCCTCTGATAGGGTTTCGGTGGACACGCCGATGCTTCAGATCCCTGCGGCAGCGGCCTGCGGCTGTCCATGCTTTGCTTGCCTTTGCTCGTGGATGCAGGGGTTATCTGTGACTGGCCTTCATTTGAGCACCCGGGCCCTGGGCTCTGATGAGCTCAGGGCACGGGTGCAGTTCGGAAGATCCTCATGTTGCAAGGAGGCAGATCGCACGCAGCTCGCTGGCAAATCTGTGCTGGTGTGACAGTCCAGACTGCCATTGGAGCACTCCGTTCCGCAGCGCGCAGGCGCAAAATGACTTGCAGTTTCTCATAGTCTGTCCATGTTTAGAAGCGCTTTAAGCTTAAACTAGGGTTTGGGGCAGAGGGTTGAGGCCCTGGGGTTTTAAGGCTGAGGGTTTAGGGCATGGGGTCCCCATTCCGCAGCCGCAAAATGACTTGCAGTTTCTCACCGTTGGGGCATCGGGTTGAGGCCCTAGGGTTTTGAGGCCCGAGGGGGCTTAGAGCCTAGGGTTTGGGCCTTAGGCTGAGGGTTTAGGAGTAGTCGTCGTTGTTGTCGTAGTAGTAGTAGTAGTAGTAGTAGTAGTAGTAGTAGTAGTAGTAGTAGTAGTAGTAGTAGTAGTAGTAGTAGTAGTAGTAGTAGTAGTAGTAGTAGTAGTAGTAGTAGTAGTAGTAGTAGTAGTAGTAGTAGTAGTAGTACTAATAATAGTAGTAATAGTAGTAGTAGTAATAGTAGTAGTAGTAGTAGTAGTAGTAGTAGAGTGTAGTAGTTTTAATAATAGTAGTAGTAGTAGTAGGAGTAGTAGTAGTAGTATAGTAGTAGTAGTAGTAGTAGTAGTAGTAGTAGTAGTAGTAGTAGTAGTAGTAGTAGTAGTAGTAGTAGTAGTAGTAGTAGTAGTAGTAGTAGTAGAGTAGTAGTAGTAGTAGTAGTAGTAGTAGTAGTAGTAGTAGTAGTAGTAGTAGTAGTAGTAGTAGTAGTAGTAGTAGTAGTAGTAGTAGTAGTAGTAGTAGTAGTAGTAGTAGTAGTAGTAGTGGTAGTGTAGTACGCCCCAACCGGGTGGTTTGCCCACACACAGGGTGGTCAAGCATGGGTTTGGACAAGCATGCTTGAGTCAGCTCTTGCCGCAGCATGTCAGCATGAACCATGTGGCACCCCACAGCCCAAAGCCTAAACCTTAAACTCCAGAAGGTCTTGGTCCTATTTAATAGCTCCGGATTTCGCAGACGACTCGTCTTGTGGCCACTACACTACTGACGCAGTCCCGTGCTTGTTGGGTCGCGCGGGCCTACCACAACCCCACCAGACCGGAGACGGCGTTCAAACTGGATGGGCAGGGAAGCCTGCGAGAATGGGCCAAAGCGGCGCGCTCCGCCCCCTTGGAAGCAGCTAGGGTTGCGCAAAACCCGAAAATCAATGCTTACATACGGGTGAAACTTAACGCGTGCCAGGCTCTAGGGCACCGACAATATCAGTCATTTGATCCGACTAACGCCCCGCTCCACTTTTTGGATGCGGTGCGCTATGCACTGGCAGCTTGTGTCGCTAGCCAGGACCTCGAACACTTCTGGGCGACATTTAACCTTGAATGGCCAGATGGCAAAACGAGGTCCAATGTCTCTTTTCGACAAGTCCCGCCACTGCACTGCCTGGTAACTACGCCTGTCCCAGGAACCCTCGCAGAGGGGGGAGAGGCCCAACCCATGGAGGAAGTGCACAGCAGCTCGTCGGAAGAGGAGTGCCAGGACACTGAAGTGCAGGTCCATAATTGGCGCTTCTCTGAGCTCGAAACCACTGACCTTGCAACCTTGCGAGAAGTGGACTTGTGTGTGCCGTTCCAATTCCCCTCCATCAACAGTGCGCATTGGAGGAACTATGTGTCGTTCCCCAGTTCCCTTTAAAAGAAAAAGGGAGTGGTACGATGCCGTTACGGCACATTGGGCGTCTCATAGAGGCTTTGCTGTCGCTGCGAACAGAGCATGGTCCAAGCTTTATTTCAACCAGAAGCCGGGCGACCCAACGTCCGAGATGCTGGTTGCGGTCCACAACGGCAAGTCCATGACATATCAGGCAGTCAGCAATGCCGGGAAGGCGTTGTGGCATGCGGCAAAGGCTAAGCTTGCGGAGCTAGGGAATACCCCAATCACTACAGGGACCCCCCCGTGGGGGGCTGAACTTGAAGAGCTCGCTGATGAGCCTCATTACGCCACTCTCTCGATCGGGGAGGTGGCGTCCGACACCTCGCGCCCGAGCAGCCGCCCTTCCCGCAGTGAGGTGGCGTCCGACACCTCGCCCGGGAAAACCCGCCGATCAGCTTCAGTAGCTGCGCCCGCGTTGCAAACTCCCCTTCGAAGCGACGCGAAAATCGCTTGGCAGTAATGGGTACTGCCGTGATTGGCCAAGGGAATGACCTGGGCGAGGACGGCAACTCGGAATGGCATGGATGGTGATTTTGATTCTGGCAGCCTGTTTGCATTTTGCGAACTGCAGTTTGTGCGCCCCTTGACGTTGCACGAGAAAACCAAGACGGGTCTTCTTCGACTTCGTCGTGTTCTGAGAGAGGGGAATGTTTCACTGTAGGAGACACTATGGCTCTGCTTTTTCTTGTCTTCGGCGTTTGTTGCTTTGTTTCCGGTAGTCTTGTCTGTCTCGCCTCGTCGCAATAGACCGGCCCACTGTGCTGCTGATGTGGTAAAGGGGCGTCCGCTTTAAACAAAAAGACAAACGTTTTGTTTTGAAGTTGATTGCCTGTAGTGAGGCCCATGGGAACAAGCTCTACTTCTCACGCCATTTCAAGAGCCTGGCGGCTTGGGTAATGGCCTCCGCACTCTGCAGACGCAATTGCGTTTTGGCTGCTTAAGTACTGGATTTTGCTGTTGGATCTGTTGCCAGACTACAGGGAAGGCCCACGAAGCCAGAATTGCTGAGATTTTTCGACCCCAGATTTGGAGTCGCGCAAACTGGCAAACATGTATACAGTACAGGAACGACTTGGTCTCCCAGGCTTTGCTGAAAATCAAGCCCCAAAAAACAATCTCGAAACTTTGGCCTTATGTGGCCTCAAACCCACACGGCCCACACGGTCTTGCTTTGTTGCGGCCTGTGGCCTGAAAACCACACGTGGCCTGTTGTGGCCTGACGTGGCCTGAAAACCACACGTTTGTGGCCTGTTATGGCTTGATGTGGCCTCAAAAACACACGTTTGTGGCTTTTTGTGGCCTTGTGGCCTCACGGCGTATTTTTCCCCGGACAAATCGCATTTGTGGCCATGGGGACTCGAGACCCTATAATACTATTGAAAGAGTCCCCACGCACAGCAGACGTAGGGTAATGAGGCCAGATCCGAGGACCGACCAGAATTTTAGTCCAGGTTTTTTCCCAAGTCGCTGATCTTCTAAACCTGAGACATTGTTACAAGTGTTCAAACACGACCTATGCACTGTTCCAAACGCGGCGTCGAAAAAAAGTTGGCAGAAATATAAATCACGCGGGACCCCCTTTCAGCACTCCTCCGCTGCCCATCACTGCATCACTTTCTCTCATTCCGTCTTTCTCGCTTCCTCTCTCTCTCACTCTCACTCTCACTCTCACTCTCACTCTCACTCTCACTCTCACTCTCACTCTCACTCTCACTCTCACTCTCACTCACTCTCACTCTCACTTTCACTCTCTCTTTCACTCTCACTCTCACTTTCATTCTCACTTTCACTCTCACTCTCAAATTCAGAATGCTGTGAATGACAGGTCTGACCCATCAAGGGTGAAATATGTCCAAGCATGCGCGAATGCACTTGCGGCATCCGTTCACCAGCCCCACAACTTGATCATTGTTAGAACCCCAATGAGGGTGCTTGGCAACAGCTGATTCGCTCCAAGTCGTTCCTGTACAATATCCTTGCCAAAAGCTTTCATTCTGCAATGTCCAGCAGACGACTCTGCGCAACCGCAGAAAACGTGGAAGCCACGTTGGTCAACTTCCCAGCACAGAAAACACCGACAAAGACCTGCAGGCGGACCAGCAGCATTGTTAGAACGAAGTCCAAGTTCCGGGAAAGTCGGGCGACCCGTTTCAGACCAGATACGATCCGAGGACCGGCCAAGTGGAGGAGTGTGATGAGAGTGAGAGTGAGAGTGAGAGTGAGAGCAAGAGCAAGAGCGAGAGCGAGAGTGAGAGTGAGAGTAAGAATGAAAGTGACAGTGTGTGAAAGTGCCAGTGAGAGTGAGAGTGAGGAAGCGAGAAAGACGGAATGAGAGAAAGTGATGCAGTGACGGGCAGCGGAGAAGTGGTGAAATCCATGGGGGCCCCACGTGATTTTTATTTCTGGAACTTTTCTTCGACGCCGCGTTTTGAACAGTGCATTTCACCCCAGCCACAACTTAACGTTGTTAGAACCCCAATGAGGGTGCTCGGCAACAGCTGAGTCGCTAGGAGCAAAGCTTTCATTCTGCAATGTCCAGCAGATTCTGCGCAACCGCAGAAAACATTGAAGCCACGCTGGAACTCTGATGCCCTGATAAGTTTATATCTTGCGCGGACGGATGTTTTTCAGTGACCTTTAGGCCAGAGTTCGGC